CAACTCAGGGCCCATGCCTCCCCAGAGCACTTAGCCATCCTCCACCCCATGTCAGCCCCACGACCAGACTTCCCGCCCTCAGACTCAGCCCTTCCCAAGAACTCGGGCGTCTTAGTTTCCAGCTTCCTCCATCACCTCACACCGTCTTCCAGATGTCTTGTTCCCCAGCCCTGGCTGCAGTGACACCGCAAATCCAGGAGACCCCGGGGCAGCCAATAGGAAAGAAAGCGGGAGGGAGAGAGGAGCCGCCAGGACGCCCCCTCACGGAGCCCTGGGCGCCCGGATCCCCCCTCCTCCCGTCTTCACCTGCTGCGGGCTCCGCCCCCGCTCCGCCTAGACCGGCCTCTGCTCCTCCCCCGACTCCTCCCCCCGTACCCCCAGCCCGGCCAGAACGGCCCCCGGGACAGAGCGACGCGGAACCCCGGGCGCCTGGGTCCCCAGCATGATCCTCGGTGAGTGGGCTCCGCAGCTCCAGGCTCCAGGCTCCTGGGTCCCTCTCAGTAGGTCACCCCACCCCCCCAACCTCCCGGCACCGCGGTGACTGCGGCCGCCCGTCAGCGACCGGTTCCCCCTCCCCCTTCTTCGGGCTCCATAGCTGGGGTCCCCTCTCCCCCTCTTCCTGAAGCTGCTGCTTCCCCCGGTAATCTAGGGAATGCTAGAGGAGCAGACAGCTAGGTGAGACCCCCTCCCCATAATGAAACATTGCGTATTCATGAGGCTCATGAATATTATATGACCGTCTACAGGAGGCTGGGGGAGGGGGGCTGTCCGCTGGGGGAGTTGAGGGGAAGGCTCTGACCCGGCTCCCCCACCCTGAGCTCTGGCCCTCCGACCTCCTTCTGGGCCCAGGGTTAGAGGAAAAGGAGGAAGTAGGGGGCGGGCGAGGGGAGAAGATGGTGGGTGTAGCTTCGAGGTGTGAGTGGTGGGGGGTGGCGGTTAGGGGGCTGGGGAGAAGACGGAGTGGGAAACTGTCCATCCCAGGGCCCCTGCGGTTCAGATCCTGCCTCCGCAACCATCCTGCCCCAACACGCCAGGACCTGCCCCCTCTCTCCTGCGCTGGCTGCCTGGGCCCTTCCTTCCCGGCTCCCTTCTTCCCTCGTCCCCTACCCCACCCCCACCTGCCTCGGGGGGCCGGGGAGGCCCCGAGAGGAAGGGGCAACGGAAGGGTACGGGTGGGGGAGGGGAGCTCCCGCGGGGCTCTGACAGCCCTCAGCCACAGCCACCCCATCCTCATGACCTACATCGGAGGGAACCCCGAGGGGAGGGGGGAGAGAGGGGCAGATGAGCTAGCTGTGTGCCGGCTCCAGGCCCCTGCCTCCCAACAGTCTGCAGGCCTGCTCTGTCCTCTGCCCTCTGACCTCCGCCCAGGCTAAGGCAGTTCCTGGGCCTGCTTAGGTGGGAGCCCGACTATCCAGGCCCAGACACCTGTGGGCTCCCCACCCGCCGCTGGGGACACCTGGCTCCAAGCTGGTGCCCCAGGCTCCGCCTCAGCCTCTGCTGTGCGTGTCCTTGGCTCTTTTGCTTTTCTTCGTTCATTTGACCCCTGTTGACTTCCCACTACCTGTCTTTGTTTCCTTCTTTGCATCTTCCTCCATCTCTTTCTCTCCCCCTCCTGAATCTCCTCACTCTCTCACCACTTAGTGTCTGACCGTCTCCACCTGGCCCTCCATCATAGCTATTAAATGAATGAGGGAACGAAGGCATGGCGGGCTGGTTTCCTGCCTCCTTCCCAAGGGTGTCCCCAGCAGGGAGAGAGTCCCACCCAGCTGTGAAGACGACCCTAGGGTGACCCTCACCACCACAACTTGGACCAGGTCCCCAGAGCACAGGCTCCACATTCCTCCATCCTGTGCAATCCCTGTGCCCTGGCCCCACCCTGGGAACGGCCCCACCCTGGGTATGAGGCCCGGGGGCAGCACCGTGTTTGTCCGGAACAGGCCCGTGTGAGCCATACTCTCCCTGATCAAGAGTTCCTACAGAGGGCTCCCGGGCCCTGCTCAAACCGGACAAGAAGTATGCCTGGATCCACCAAGGGGACCCCACCACATCTCCCTGGAGGGCACTAATGAACTCCCTCCTTGTGCCCACCCCACGGGGGGCGGGGGGGGAGGTCTGGTGGCCTGGTGGCCTGGGCCCGTGCAGCTTAGCCCGCTTCGAGGAAAGAAGGGGCTTGGGCTCAGGGCCCGTACTAAGGTTTTCAGGTTCTGCATGCTGAGATCTGTGGAGTCAGTGTGCAGCAGGTAAGGCCCAGCCTGCTGGGCCCAGGTTTAAGGCGGTGGTTCTGGGCTCAGGTTCCCTGGTCCAGGTCCCTCTTACGGCCCTCTCTAGCTGCGCCCCTCGTGTGGTAGAGGGGGAGCCATTGAAAGAGGCCCTTTCCTGTCAGATTGGGAAGATGGCCCAGGTTGTTTTTCTCTCTTCCCTTCCTGGCTACCTTCTCCCTTTGGCCCTGCCCCCACCCACATCTACCCTGGGATTATTAGGGCTGATGTTTTGAGTTATTGTTCATAACCATCCCCTTGTTGCTTTCATCTTCGACTTCAAAGCCTTTCCAGCCCTCAGCCTGCCTCTTGCCAAGATGGGGGAAATTGAGGCAGAAGGGAACATTTCCATGGGATTTGCTCAAGAAGGCAAGACCCAGGGTTTCAAGGCTCTCCTCTCAATCCCCAATATTAGGCATTCCTGGGGAGGGAGAAGAGGCCAAAAGGCCTGAAGAGAAAACGAGATGAATTAGAGAAAAAAAATCCTAATTCAGACTCGAATCCAATTTCTCCTTGGCCCCAGAGTCTAATTCCTCTGCTTTTCACCACCGTGGGCCCTAACACAACCTGCAACCGTAACCCAGATACCTCTGACTAACCTGCATCTGCTCCTGGCCCATTCTCCAGACCAACACTAACCAAGCCCTAGCACCTTCCTGGCTGCTCTTCCCACGCAGCCACTCCCCGAGCCAGCTCACAGCGGACACTCCCATTCTTTACCACAAGGGCTTGAAGCCCCAGACCCAACCTAAGATAGCCAAGGCGCTGGGACTTGGACCAGGCCAGAACTTCTGGGGAGCAGAGGAAGGAAAAGACGAGATCTCGGTGGGATGGAAGGAGTCAGCTGTGCCTTGGTGCTGGAGGGGAAACCTGAGCAGCATCCAAGCGCCTGGGGCAAGGTAGGGCACAGAAATGGACAGATGGACATCCATCCAAGGGTCTGAGAGTTCACCCTCTAAAGTTCATTGGGAACTGTCTTTAATAAAGCATTTGGCAGTTCCCCACAGAGATGGGTGAGGCTCTATCCGCAGGAGGTAATTATGTACTCTAATGAGCTAGGCTCCGGAGTGGCCTGCCCCAGCCAGGCCCCAGTTCTTCCCTGCCCTGCCTGAGGTGTGTGACACACACACACACACACACACACGCTCCAATTTGCTCTCCACTCCCTTCCCCAAACCTGCCTGAAGCTCTCACCTAGCCAAATAGCAGAAGACCTAAATTTCCTACCTCATTTCCTGCTTCCCCAGTCCTTACTTCATTCCTGCCTTTTCCCCCTCCCATCCCTAGTCTACCCAGACACGTGTAGTGCTTGAAAGCCAGGCACACAGATTCAAATCCCTCACTAGTTGAGTGAACTTAGTCAAGTAACTCCCCTTCTCTGAGCTGTTTGTCATCATCTACAAAATAAGGGTTCGTTTATTTAGCAAACATTTATGTATTGAGCTCCCTGGTGGCATGCCAGTACTTTACATGAATTTGTTCAATCCTCTCAACAACTCCATGTAGCAGGTTCTGTTGTTCTCATTTGATAAATGAGAAATGAATCCAAGAGAGTCCGAGAAACTAGCTAGTCACCCAGCTGGTGAGCAGTGGCTCCATCACAGAGAGACTATGGACGTAAAGTGTCTGGCATATAGGGGCAACTCTATCCCTCCCAAAGTAGCAACTGTTCTTATTCCCCAAAAAGGGGTGGGGGAGGAACTGAGTCTTGGACCACCTGAAACCAAGAGCCCTGCTCCTGCCCATTCGTCGTATCAGCTGCCATCTGCCCCTGTGGCCTTGCGTCCCTTCCTCACTCCATCCTCATTTACCCCTTCCTCCCACTTCCCCTTCCCTCTCTCCCCGCTACCCCCGGGGCTCCTGTCAGTGGGAAAGATGAGTTGCTGGCTGTAGGAAACTGAGTAGCTGCAACCTGTTTTCTTCCAATCCCAGCAAGTGCATGGAACTTGCTCTCCCCTTCCTCTCTTTGAACAAGATGGAAGGCAGCGCTCAGATCTCTGCTTCAGAGTCAGACCGAAGTCCTTTGGGGTTATGTAGCAGAGAAAGACTTTACAGAGTGCGACAGATCCTGATTTAAATCCCAGCTCTGATACTGATAAGCTGTGTGACATCAGTCAAGTTTTCAACTTCTCTGATCCTCCGTTTCCTCCTATGAAAAATGGGGAAAGTGGGATCAACTACCTCCATAGAACTGTCACTGCCTCGGAGACTCAATGTGATAATACTCCACCGGAGAGAGGGTCAAGGAGTTGAGCTGCTGCCTCTGGTGCTCTGGGGCGGGCAAGTGCCAGCCCCAAACCAGCTGCTAAGGTGGCTGCTGGGTGCTGGGACTCTGGGAGTGCTCAGGTTTCTCTCACCATTCCTGATGCCACCCGGGGCTCGTTAAGGCTGCCCTGGCCTTGTGTGCCAGGCAGGAGGGTGGGGTATAGAGAAGAGAAGCTATGAGGGGACAGACCGGGAAGGGGAGATGGTTGAATTACCCCATCAGTCCGTCTGTCCCTGTCTGTCTCTCCCTGTCTTGCTGTGCTTTCTGTCCTTTGGTCTCTCTCTCCTAGTCTCTAGCTCTGTATCCAGCTTTTCAGCGGTGGCCCTGTTTTCCTCTCTCATTTCACTCTCTTCCATCTCTCCGTTGTTCTCGGTCCTTTTCTATCTGTGTCTATGTTCCATTTCTCAGTCACTTATTCCTGCTTCTGTGTCTTTTCCATTCCCTCTTACTCATTCGTGTCTGTCTGCCTCTCTCCCTCCCTCCTCTCCTCCTACCCCATCCCAACTCCAAGGGAATGGACACAGGGTGTACAGAAAAAGAGGAAATGGACTCGGGGTATACAGACCCCTAGATGTCCGAGGGCCAAAGCCAAGCATCCTACCCTTTCCTGCAACCTTTAGACACTGGAGTCCAAGCTTCCCGCAGTCTTGACCCCTCTCTGCCTCAGGCACCATGGCTACCCAGTCCTAGCTGTGGGTGGAAGAGACAGACCCCTCCAGCCCTTTCTGGACCAGCTCCCTGCCCCCAGCTGTGCCTGAGCCCTCCCCACCCCCTCCCTCTCTTCCTCCTGATTTCCCTAATCCCTGCTCCCCCGCCCTCCCCTCTGCCCCACTTTTGCAGGACTCTGATTGGCTGATTCTACTGACTGGACTGGGGGGGTGCTGGCAAGGGAGAGGGCAGGGGGCAGAACCAAGTGAAGGGGACGCTGTCAGGCCCAGGCCCCTGGGGGGCCAGGGGCAGGCCACTGCCTGGGGGCAGCGGGCACCAGAAACTGAAGGTATGAAAAGGGGCCGTCTCTATGGAGGGAGCAAGAAAGGATCTGAGGGACCCTGTGCCCCGTAGGTCAGGGGAGGACAGGGCCAAGCTTGCAGCCTCCTGGGTGTGCCTTTGTTGCTGGGAACATCTGTTGCTACTGAAGAGCAGCCAGAGTTTCCCAACTGGTGGACCGGGAGGTCGAAGAAGGGAGCTCGGCCAGCGGAAGCCCAGAGGGTCCTGAGGGCCTTTGGGTCACCCCTTTGGAGCCTGGCGGGGCTCCTCCCATGGCTCTGGAGGGAGGAGAAGGAGGTTTGAGTGGGGGTGGGGGCCAGTGGAGTGGCTGGCCTGGACTTTCATTTCCCATTTGGGTTAGGCCAAGGCATTCCCCTCCCAGAGGCCTGGTTGTAGTTCCTCCTGCAGAGCGGGAGCTGAACACTCCAGGTTAAACAGAGCCATGGGAAGACAGGAAGGGAGTCCACCTCCCAGAGCCAATGCCGTGCACCTATTACCCACCCCCAGAGGTGTCGACGGTTCATTAAGAATTTCGACTGGGACAAAATCATAACTGCTGGGGTAGCCTGAAAGATTCCGTAGCCCTCCTCCAAATCTAGGCCTCAGTCTCCCCCTCTGGGCAGTGGGATGAATCACCCACAGGACTGTTCTCCCTGAGGTGAAACCTGGCTTTTGGGATTCTCTGGGGAAAAGCAAAACCAGAAGAAGGGAGTGGGGCTCAGGGTTCCCAAGTCCTGCCCGGTCCGCAGGCAGTCTGCAGAGGTCTGTACTCTTCCTGGTCTGTTTAATGCCGAATGGTCTTGGAGGAGGGAGGCTAGAGAAAGGGGAAGTGAAACCACCCAGAAGGGAAGGACTGACCTGCACCCTCCCCCAGGCCCACAGGGACCGCGCTCCATTGCTCTGGAGCCAGCAAGCAGGGGAAGTGTGTGTGCATGGGGGTCGCTCTTCTGAGTGTGGGGGAGTGGGACTGACAGGCTTCAATCTTCCTGCCTCACACAATGTTTTCTCTGCCCTTCAGGCAGCCTGAGCCGGGCAGGGCCCCTCCCTCTGCTTCGGCAGACCCCCATCATGCAGCCCCCGCTGGACCTCAAGCAAATCCTGCCTTTCCCACTGGAGCCGGCCCCCACCCTGGGCCTCTTTGGCAACTACAGCACTGTGAGTAGCAGCAGCCTGCCTCCCAACCCTCCTTTGACCTCCGCTCTCCCTGGACCCACCCTTGCTCTTTTCTCTTCTTCCCCTTGTATCTAATTCCTTGTCTCTTTTTAGAATCCCATCTCCCTTGTCCTAGCTGGTTTAGCTCAGTGGATAGAGTGTTGGCCTGTGGACCAAAGGGTCCCGGGTTTGATTCCGGTTTCAATTCTGGTCAAGGGCAGATACCTTGGTTGCAGGCTCCTCCCCGGGCCAGGCAACCAATCGATGTGTTTCTCATATCAATGTTTCTCTCCGTCTTTCCCTCTCTCTTCCACTCTCTCTAAAAAGCAATGGAAAAAAATATCCTTGGGTGAGGATTAGGATCGCATCTCCCTTACTTCTAGTCTATTACAAATATTGTTGGTTATATGGTATATTATTTATACCAATAGCTAATATTTGCTGAGGTCTTGCTATGGGCTAGATATTGTGCTGGGTGTTTTATATGACTCATCTCATCTAGTCTATCATCTAGAGAAGTATCAATACTTAGATTGGTGGTAGTGATTAAAGGAGGTGGGAGGTGTGATAGGCTATCCATAAAGACAGAAATATCCAGAAAGAGGAAATAAGCAGGGGCATAAGCATGCCTGTTTGTAAGTTCCAGCTCTCTGGAGTCCACAGTTGGGTGGGTATGGTCAGTGGGGTAGGTCTTGGAGGGCTGGCAAAGTTGTCTAGATTTAATACCCTATGAAATAGCCATTATCCAGTCTTGAGCAGGAGAGTGATTTGGCAAGAGCAATGATTAAGGCCCCAGCCATCCTGATACACCAAGATTGCGGGTTTGAAACCCTGTCAGGGCACATACAAGAATCAATCAATGAATGCATAAATAAGTGAAACAACGAATCACTCTCTTCTTCTTCTTCTTCTTCTTCTTCTTCTCTTCTCTCTCTCTCTCTCAAATTAGTCAATAAAGAACAGTGTTTAGGAAGGTGAGTGGAACAGCTGGATGGAAGGGAGCAAGGCTAGAGGAGGGCAGCCAATGAGGAGGCTGTCCCAGCAAGGTGGGCCTACAGGGAAGCCTAGAGCACCAGACTAGTGGGCGTTTAATGACAGTGGCAGTGTGAGGAGAGCGGAAGGGAGATGGGCAAGGTACTTCCAAGGAAATATTGACAGACCATGGTGACCAACTGGTATTTGGGGATTGGGGAGAAGAGAGAGGATGAGTCAACGATGACTCCAGGGTTCGGGATGCTGTGATTTGGAGGAAGAACTCACCTTGACAGGGGCAGGGGGTTGAAGGAGGAAGCTGACCCCTCATGGTGCTGCTGAACCCCCTTGAGGACATGGAGCCCAAAATTCGAACATTTAGAATTTGGGGCCTGGAGACTGGGCTAGAGCTAAAGTTTTAGGGGAAGTCAGCTTTATTCAATTCAAATAACCACCGTCAAACCATATTCAGCTATAAATATCTATTGAGCATCAACTATGCACCAGGCACTGTGGTAGATGTTTCTATACATGCTCTCATTTAATCTTCACCACAACCCAACAAAGTAGACATTATTATTCCTGTTAGACATATGAAAGACAGAAACTAAGGCTCAGAGGGTTTAGTAATTTATCTAAATTGACACAGTATGTGCCTAAGGTATGATTTGAACCCATAGCCTGTGACTCCAAATAGAGTTCTCTTAATACCAGCTGCTTCCTCCGAACTTCTCCCAAAGAATCCAAACCAACATTTGTATTGCACTGTGAAGTTTACAAAATGTTTTTCATTTCTCAATCTTGATAGTAACCCTAAGGAGTAGGTGTTAATTTATTCTCATTTTACAGATCAGAAAACTGAGTAATTACTATAAGCAAGGTACTGTTCTAGATAGGATGGAGACATGAGAATGAAATGAGATGGCCCAATCTTGAAAGAGCCATTCAGGAGAGATACATTGACATGAATGCAGCAATCTGCAATGCAAACCAGAGGAAGAGTTAATAAATATTGTGAAACAGACACTAACAATCCAAGTCTACAAAAAATAAATTTATCTTGAGCATCTACTATGTGCCAGGCACTGTGCCTGGTGTCAAGGACACAAGACTCAGTTCACGCCCTTGTGGAATTCACAGTTTAGTAGGAAAGATAACAAGTTAACAGTTACCCTATAGTGTGAGGAGAGCTGTGTCAGAGGCATTTAGCTTGCATGGGAGCCCAAGAGGGTGTCAAGAAAAACTTGCTGGCTGTGGTGGTCCCTATGGGACCAACGTGAGCTAAGCAGGAGAAAAAGAGAGAAGAGAGGAAAAATTTGCAGCAGGTGACATTATTTGAACTTTGAAGAATTCGTAGTAGGATTTTCAAAGGAGCCTTAGAGAACATTTCAGACAGAAGCAAATAGCATGAACAAGGTCTAGAAAAGAGCACTTGAGAAAGCACAACCGGTTGTATGTAATTAGAGCAGAAAGTGCTGGGAATACTTTCTCCCACGTAAATACCTGATTTTCACTTACCCTCGGATCACCCATCATTTCCCCCATTTTATTTTTTTTAATATATTTTTGTTTATTTCAGAGAGGAAGGGAGAGGAAGAGAGAGACAGACACATCAATGATGAGAGAGAATCATTGAACAGCTGCCTCCTGCACATCCCCCACTGGGGATCAAGCCTGCAACCGTCGTGGCTGCCCTGACTGGGAATCGAACCGTGACCTCCTGGTTTATAGGTCAACACACTCAACCACTGAACCACACCGGCTGGGCTCTCCCGTTTTATAGATAAGGAAATAATGACCAAGAGATATTAAATGACTTGTCCAAGATCACAGAGCTACTTAGTGATTCCCATGAATAATCCAGAGTTTCTGACTTCCCAGGGTGCATGGTTCCATTGCTTCTAGTGGGGAGTGAGGAATAGCAATATAAAGCCAGGAGCAGAGCTTGGAGAGTACAGCAGGGTATTTTGTATCTGACTGGCAGGATTTGAATTGATGTTATAAAAGCACTGGCTGTGTGGCCTTAGGCAAATTACTTAACCGCTCTGAACCTCAGTTTTACCAGCTGTAAAATAAGATAGTAATAGTATCAGCTCACAAGGTTGTGAGAATCACATTATATAATCATAATGCCCAGCACAAAGTAAATATTCAATTAGTATTAGCTGCTATGATTATTATGTTATTGCTATTATTTTTATTTAAGGGAGGATCAGAGAGAGAACGGTAGTATGGACAAGGCCTCAGCCTTGGGGAACAAGCAGAAATCGGTAGTGGGAACCGGAGGAGGCTACAGCAAAAGAAATGGAGGAGCCACTGAAGGGGGTTGAGTGGAGAGAGAACCAGGTTCCTGTAGGGTTGGAGAAGCCAAGAGAGTGAGTGTGGTGGGCTGCATCAATAGTGTCAGCTTCTGCAGGGGAACGAGGACTGCAGAAAAGCTGCAGACAGGCCTTTGGCAGCTCTGTGCAGCAGTTAAGAACATGGCTTTGCAGTCAGGCTGCCCAGGTTTAAATTCAAATCTCAGTTCAGCCACTTCCTAGTTTACGACCTTGAGCAAATTATTTAACCTCAGGTCCCTCATCTATAAAATAAAGATAATAATCGTACTTAGAATAGTGGTTGTGAAGATTAAATTAGATAATCCATGCAAAGAGTTCACAGTACAGAGGCTGGCACATTCCAAGGGCTCAACCAACATTAGATGGTGGTGGTAGTGGAATTATTATTATTTATGTCAGAGTCTCTCCCTTCCTGGACTAATACCTCCAGATCCATCTCCTAATTGGACAGTTCCTATCCCTTAGACTCCTCCCTGTATTATGTGTCCCTTTGCCCTTGGACATCCCTCATGTCTCCCAAAGACAGCCCCCCTCTCTCTCTTCTCTCTCTCTCTCTCCATCCAGTCCTCTGCTCCACTAATCTCTCTGCCCTAGGTGGAATGGGAGGTGATGAGATCCAGAAGCGAGGGAATCCTAGAACCTGTCCAGAGAGGATGAGGAGGTGTCTAGGGGAGTGGGCTGCTTTCTCCTGCCACCCCCCACAAACACTGGACCGCCAGAGGGCAGCAAGTGCATGAAACATAAAGTCTTAGGGAACCTGGTTCTCCAGCAGGTGGCGGGCGAGGGAAGGAGGTAGGAAGAGGTAAGGACCGAGGTCGGTTCTGCCCTGGGTGCCCGCAGCTCCAGCCGTCCAGAGTCGCTGAGAGAGCAGGGCCTGACGCCTGGCTACCTGGGCTCGTTCCCCATCCCTAGCAGAGAAAGTGGCGTGTACAAGGGCACAGGGCCCGTGTGCAGAGGGAGCAAGGAAGGATCGTCTGGGAACTCGGAAGAGAGCCTGTCAGCAGGGGAGAGAGGGTCAGGGAGGACAGGATGAAAAAAAGGAGAAACGTCCGAGCTAGAGAAACAGGGTCTCCATAGGATTGGTGGGAACACTAGACCCAGCAAGGGTCCCCAGTGGAGGAAAGCCAAGGTCATCTGGTCAGTGCCCCATGCCAGGCCGAGTGGCCCCTCACCCCACGACTAGGTCTTCCCTGGAATTAGTGTCAGCCCAGGGACTCGCCCTCCTCTTTTCGCCCGAGCCCCTCTTCTTGCCTCTTACACTCCC